CCTACCGTAAACTCGGTGCACGGCTCGTGTCCATAACATCCCGGTGTCGGAGGGCGTAATCGCGTTAAAAATTTCCCGGCCAAGAGAAACGAGCGGGCCAAGGGGAAGCTGGTAAATTGCTACGCGCAAATTATCGGCTGCAAATACTCGCGGGCATTATTCTCTAAAGCTTCTCGATGCGTTCAACTGTCGAACAAACTCCTGGGCGTGTTTAACCGTATTCGACCGGGCGTTTAGTTGTGTTTAAGCCGGGGGTTCTAGCGGGGGGCGGGAAAACTCGCGACCACCGGCGCCGTATTTATTTCATATTAACCGTACAGAATTATTTCACGTGTCGCTGGGCAATGTTACGGTAATCCTGCAACGAATTGCAGTCGAATTGCGCCCCGCGGCCGGAATTCCGACCGTTTCTTCCGACCGTCGTTGTTCTGTCGCGAGCAAAACCCCTTTTTCACCACGAAACGACAGGATATCGCGATACACGGCCCCCACTTGTTCACCCACTACGTTCCAAACGATCCAAAATAAAAAAAAATTACAATTATTCCAATAAAATTCCTTATCTTATTCCTCGTTCGTGGTACTCGACGTGTAAAGTTTTAATTTTTTAAATTTCGTAGCCCCCCGTTGCATCAATTATGAATTTGATATTTGAGAAAATGATACTTTCGATTCGTTCGATAAAAATTTCGTAACCAATCAACGGATTAATTAGCAGAATGGATTAGTCGAGAGTTACTTCGAAATTACCATACAAAGTGCTGATTTCCCCCAAAAATGATCGTAGTCTGTAATTGACAATCTTCCCCGCAAGTTTGCAAATGTGGTTCGTTAAGGTAATTGGTCGACAGTTGCTGGGAATTAATTGGGTCTTTGCTCAGTTTAGCAACGGAAACGATGAGGTGGCTTCTTTCCCGTTCGTTGTAAATCGATACTGCAGTAATTTTCAATCAGCAGTCGATATTGTTACGAGCGTTTTCCTGTTGCTACATTTGCGGTTCTTATTCGAAAACATAAAATACAAAACGTGAATAACACGGTCCCCGGTATCCCGGCGTGCAAAACGCTCGGAAATTGGAGATATTGTTGTTCGATTTTTAATTTTTCGAAACACCGCTCGTGCATGATTTAATTTCCAAACAGGGGGATTTTCAGTTACGTTCAAACTGTTGACCTGCAACGGCGATGTTTGTAAAAACCGATGGATACGTTTCGCATTTTACCGATTGGAATTTTCCCGTTGCTACCGCGCGGCTTGTGAAAGTATTGTGGAAATCTGGAAAATACCAGCACCGGAAATTCGATCGTGGAATCTGTAAAGATTTGGAATTTTGAAATTTTATATCGCAAAATAGAACGACCGACTTAATTTATATTCCCGTTGATGGGAATTCTCTTTGAGCACAGTGGAATTAAATTTAAATGAAAAGATGCACTCGTGGCTCGAATGGGACGAATGTTTCGCGATAGATATTGCTTTTCACGATGTATTCTTGTTTGCATTTACGTAATTGATGAATAGCGTTGGAATAGTTGTCCTATAAATTTGAAACTGTTTCGAGACGTTCCTTAGAGCAGCTTAATACAAGAGTTTCAATTTCGAACGTAAATCTATCGACGGTGTCAAGTACGTCGCAGAAAAGGTATCCGCGAACTGTCAGGTCGTCGACTTTGATGAAACTTTGTACAAACGTTCGTCGATAGAATCGAAGGAGTATATCGTACTTGGTCGCTATTGGCCGTCGACTTTATGAGAAAAACTACCTCTTTTATGTACACCCGCGTTTACTCGTAGATTACAAAAAATATTGGAAAACGTTGGGGCGCGCGACATCTGTTGGAACGAAAGGACGATCTAGATCGAGTTATCGATCGACTCGATGAACGTATGTACATCTATGTTTCACGAAGTAACAAAGTTCGCTCTGCAAACAAATTTTAAAATCGTTCGAAAGAAGATTACGAAATTTTACGTTTCGTCTGAAATTACAAGGGATTTCGGTTAAAATATTCCAAGGAACGTTTCCTGGCGGCATTGTAGCGGTCGTCGGAACGAAATTAATTCGAGAACGTGACAATAGGTTGGCTAAACCCGGGTAATAATGATCGCGCTGACAGGCGGAGACCTCGATAAACGAGATGACCTCGTTTTCCCTATGCAAATCACCGGAACGCTCGATCCACTCCATCTTCATCCTCATTTTTTCCCAATGAATTCCGGGTGGTGGCTGGGCGTAGCTACGGCGCCCGTAAATCAAAAGACAATCGAAAGGAAAACACGATCAGACGTCTCGTCGGGCACAACGTCGGGGGTTGGAGCGGCGTCGACAGAAATGAAGTGTCAACAACAGCGAACGAAACGACCCTCCGGGTTCACGTTCGTGTCGATACATCGTGTTTCCTTTCCTCCCAGGCTACGCCACCCGGGCCACGCCGGTGTAAATTACGTTCCGAGCCGGTGTTTTCGCCGCGAACCTAGCCCACCGGCCGTAGGGTTTCCCAAACGTAGACGCGGAGGGTAATAAAATAAATTGCAGCACTTAGCCCGGAGGCCCCGTGGCTACCAACTCCCGTTGCATCCAACCTCCCCCGCTGCCAACCGAGTTACCACTTTACCCCTGGCAGCTTACGTCGGCTAAGCTGCCTCGATTAGCAATGCTTAATATATCCCTCTGCCAAATTCATGGGACACGGAACACGCGCGATGACCCCGTAACCCAAAAAACCTCACCCTTCCGAACCTCGAACCACCCCCACTTGTCATAACCTTTACAGTAAATAATTTTAACCAGTTCTCTCTCTCTGTGATATCGTGAAGATATATTTGTTACTCTTAAAGGGGAGAATTTTTGGTTTTTGGGGGAAAAAAAAGTTTGAACCTTTAATGATATAGTACAAACGGGTTTAAAGCAAAATTCAAAGTGTTATGAAAACAATTTGTTTTTTTTAATTATTTAAATGCCCTGTAAACTCTGAATGTTCGTGAGTATGAATATTTCTTTGATGCACACACGGTTGTTGTGTTTTAACGAGGTCGTGGCTGTCCAGTGCTGTCCAGTCCCCGTTGCAATGTCGAACAATGCTGAGATCGCGTATCGGGAGGTAGAAATTTCCAAGATCAAAGGAAGAGGTTGCCACTCGGAATCTGAGACCCGGGGTTCAATATTGAGTTTACTCTCTTGAATATTTAAGACTCCGCCGGGGGACCGTGCGCAGAACTCGCCAGCTTGCGTTCCCTATCGCTTTTGCGGCTTCGTAGAAGTGTCGTGGTTGAACGTGCCCTCCGACAGGGTAACGAAACACACAACAGCGTCCATTTTTTCGCCCGGAACATCGAAGAGCTTCGTGAAACGAACGGGGGTCAAGAATTTTCGTTCGATTTCGATTTTTCGACGTAGAAAACCGACCAAAACTGAACGTTACCTATCCACCCATCGAACTATCTCAATCAACGATACTTAATATGATCCCCGGGGAGCTTCTTGGATCCGTGTTCATGGCAACTCATCGATTCTTCGCGGTGGCTTCGCCATTTGCCTAGTGGCTCCTGCAAACTTCTCGAGGACCCAGCAATTTAACCCAGAATTCATCGTCGAGTTGCCACGAAGGAAAATTTTAAACGAAATACAAGTAGCGCTCTAGTTAACAAGAAGAAGAAGTATCATTAGTGGCGTTCCAATTTTGTATGAATATAACTCCAAGAACGTTTCAAGATACGTAGCGATATTTATTTTACTCGACAGCATCGTTCGACGCGCGATTTTCGAATTCTCGACAAAGCGTTGTCAATTACACGCGACATCTTTGTCAACGTATAGTTTCCCCTTTAAAATGAGAAAGCTCACGGTCACGAAAATGAAATTATCAGCGAAATTATTCATCGAATACTCGTTTTCCAATTTTTATCTCCTTTTCCCCATCATTTTTTATTAGCAGTGAAACAAGTTCACAATTTATTGTTTTCAAAGTACTTTTTCGTTACTCCGTTCTCTAGGAAAAACAATGGATGTTACAAGAATTGACTTTTTAACCTATGTTGATTGGACAGTTTTTACTCCTCTCGCTGAATACAATAAATCCCTAATCAGCCGTTATCGATTACGGTAAAATATCGAACCAATGGAAAAACCGTATCGAGTAAACGACCTGTTAGGTTAACTTGAAGCGAATTTTTAATTTCACCTATACTTTTACACGTCGCGACTAAATGTTCATTTTTATTTAAAAAGCGCTCGGTTACGAATTTAATTAAATGAAATTAGTGGGCCCGCGAACGGGGTAAATCGGAAACGTTTAGTAAATAACGATAAGTTATATATCGCACAAGGAAACTTTTATTGTACAGAATGTACAACAGTATAAAGGTTTAAGTAATTCATCGGACAAAAATGAAATTAATATTCATGCATTCGGTGAAAAATTAACATTGAATAAGCTCGTGAACGTCCCGTTCGTCTGAAATTAAAATTCACGAGACGCGGACAAAAATAGAAAAGATAATTATTGTTATCAAGAGAGTAATCGAAAATTTTCTCTTGTGCTCTCTGCTACAAACAAAATTGAATGCGATCCTTTCCCATGCATATTTAAGCTCATTTTATTAATTATCATTAATTTAAATAGCAACAGTGTCGTTGCATAATTGTTCGTTTACGTCACGCTTTCACGTGTACATATATGGGGTGAATAATTTATACGATTTTATCATTAAATTTTGCATTACTAGTTTTTAAAGCTTGCGAAGTTTCCAAGTGCCGAAAATCCGTATAGAGATATACCGCCGATGAAAATCAAATTAATAAGGGCACATTAATACGGCTCGCCACGTTTAACGTGAAACTTTTGCTTGACATTAGCTTTCTGATCTTTGATGACTTTCCAAAGACCGTGTTAAATCAATGTACATATTAACGGGCAATATCGTGACGCAAGTCTTCCATGTGTGTACAATGTCGCCTTTATAAATACGACCCGGCCGAACCGATCGTGGGACATTTAAGCTAATGCGATAATCAAGCTCGGTTTATTACGCTCCAATGTATACGATACTTCACACGGTGGTCTCGTTAAGAACATAAAATAAATTCAAATACACCTAATGCTGACAAAGTTTCTCGGTTAAATATCTCGCGTGTTTCGTGTGCCTTGAGTAAGAAGGAAGATCAAGTGACGAAAATGGACTATATGGAAATTTACGATTATTATTGGAACCAAAATGCTGGTGAGTAACCGATGATCAATACCAAGATAGTGTAGAAAATAAAAATGTTATATAGTTAGGCATTTGAAAAAGAAAATCAGAAACCAACCAACGAACATTTTACTTTTAATTTCTTTTTATATTTTCAAATAATCGTTATCTTTCGTTATTTCAGATCCACGAACGAACGGCTTGCCTTTCGTTGGTTCGCCCATTCTCATCCCGCTTATCCTATTTTCATACCTGTACTTCGTTTTAAAATGTGGACCCGAGTACATGAAGAACAAGAAACCGTACGAACTGAAAACCTACGTGAAATTCTACAATATTTTTCAAATATTCGCCAACGTGTATATAATACAACAATTCATCGAAGCTGGTTGGTTCAGTGAAATAACGATGTTTTGCGAGATATCGGATTACTCTTACGATCCTGGTCCCCTCAAGGTACTGAGAGATCAAGATAATCTTTCAACGTTATTATAATAAGCCGCTCAGAACGATTAAATCACCTTCGCGAGCGATCGAACATTTTTATATAAGTGAAACATCCGATAAACTGCTACAGTGAATATATCATAGATCTTTCATCCTTCAAGTTTCACGTATTATACTAAATTGTTCGATAGCGATGATTGATCTTGAGAATTTTTTTAAAAAAGATTATTTAAAGAAGATCCGTTTCGACTATCGAAACTAAAGATTCAGAGAAGAGGTTGCTAGTATTAATTATCAAACGTCATTATTCGATACGAACCTATGTTTTAAACGAAGTTAGTATTTCGTATTGTTAATCACTGTACACACGATCTAACCGATTGCATTAATATCCATGATTCTGTTCGTCGTTTCAGTTGTCCTTCACAATGTGGGTTACGATGATGTTAAAAATGATCGATCTGACTGAAACGGTCGTGTTCGTGCTGAGGAAAAAACAGAACCAGATCACCGTTTTGCACGTGTACCATCACGTGTCGACGTTGTTGCTAATTTGGCTGTCAACGAAATACATTGCAGTTGCAATGGCGTCGTTCACGGTCTTAGTGAATTGTTTCATCCACGTGATCATGTACACGTATTATTACTTGAGCACGTTTGGCGAGAAGACGCGGAGAGTGATAAATCCGTTCAAACCGTTGCTGACGATAATGCAAATGGCAAGTAACGACCAACTATGAATTCGTAACGATAAATTTGTCAGTACGTAAGATTAAATTGATTAACAAATTTTTTTTACTGTCACAACAGGCACAGTTTATCGTACTGATTGTCCAAAACTCCATATCGTTGCTTCCATATTGCGAAGTGACAAAGATACCAGCCACTGTATTTATAGTCAACTTGTCTATAAATTTCATGCTATTCTATAACTTCTACCAAAAGAGCTACAAGTCTAAGCAGAAGAAGAGCTGAGCCACACCAAAACGTCTAGAAACAATACGCCAATTTTATAATAATCACAGTTGGAAGATCTGTACGAACAATTGTTCTTGTTAATATTTAGTGCGATTTTTTCCACGATAGCAATTATCTTCGATTATCCGATAACTAGATTTATATTTATATAAAATAAGCGAACTATAATTTATTATTCGACAATGCAGGGTACACGATCTGTACTAAAACGGTTGTTTACAATAGTTTGTTAATAAGAGACAATTTTTTGTAAATAAGGTATGAATATTGAACGAATCGATATGTAAAACGGAGGTTCTATCGAAAGAATACGATCAAAGTCGTAAGCAAATCATCGTATTCAAATGATATGCGACACCAACGACTACCGTATTCAAGCTTATAATAACTACAACAATGAAACAAAATTATATATGCGAACGCATCGATGTTGACACGAATTAAAATTGAATGCCCTGTCTCATTTCTATGGATGCGAACTCTCTGACATTTCATCGTCGATCGAAATAACAATAAGTATAATAGGAAAGTAAAAGAAACAATAAAGATGCAATGCAATTTACAACAGAAACGTAAAGAATATTTCATTCTGATTCCGGTTGAAGAGTAAACGTAAACACAGCGAAGTGTCGTTTAAAATGGCAGTAATTTTTCTACTTACGTACGTGGTTGCGACAGGTTTTGCTCCGTAAATAAAGCCGGGGAATTACTTACCTGGAACAGAAAAGTACACGTTTATATATCTGTGAACAATCGTTAATAACGAAACTTGAAACAAACAGAAAACGAGAATTCAGAATTCTATTAGACTTCGATTAACCGAGATTAATTGCATTTGAATGTCTCGTTCAAGTTGGTCAATAAAGTTCTCACGATATCAAGAAACTCTTTTCGAGAGTAAAACATATATATCGAACGGTTAAAATTCAATTAGTTATTCTTCTGGTGTAAATAGAGGGCTCTTCCCTTTGAAATTAAACGAATAAATAAAATATAGTATAGTTCTTTATTATACCATATCGACTGCAAATGTTTTTAAAGAACAATTAAAATCACGAAGTACTTTGAAATTACAATGTTTTTTAATTGGTACGAGAATGCATAACAGTTGTAAAAATATTAAAACCGAACAAAAAAAAGAATAGAAAGGGAATATCGATAACACTGAATATTGTTGCAACAGACATTGGATATTTTTAATTAATTTGACCGTTCCCAACATGGAAACCGACGAATAATGAAATGACCACAACCGATTCAATATCCAACGCGCGGCGAAATAGACGATACACAGTCTTCGACGAAACCATTCGATTCGCCACCTTTCGTTTCCTCTAAAAGATTAATTGTGGCCCTCTGAAGTTTTAAAAGATTAAGTTTCAGTCTGCGTCTTCAAAAGATTGAATTTCAAAGCGCAAAGTCTGAAAGATCGCGTTCCTCGGCGTTACAAACGACAGCAGAATGCAATAAGCAGCGAGGATAAATGGAAATGACAAAAATAAAATAAGTTCCCAAAGAAGCCAAGTAGCTGTATTATTTACACGCGACCCTTTATCGACATGAATGCTATTAAAATAAGTCGAATCTCGTTTCGAACAAATTAGAGCCGATCCTCGTCGTCGTTCGAGTCGAGCCACGGATCTTTTATCGCGTCGTATCGCCGACATCTTTAATCGATCGATAATTATCAGACGGAGATCGTCCCTGGACACGTCCCATTGCGTTTTACGTGCCATTTGATCCGGAGAATCCAAATTCTGGTCCATTGCGGGTAAGCCAAGCCGGGCGCGCGTGCTCGATCAACCAAGATGATAAAAGTTAAGTCGAACGGGAACAGTTTCTCAACGTCCTGGCCGTCCAACGTTCGTCCGCGGATCCTCGTATCCCACTGGTGACTCAAAATCGACGATCGATAGAACGCTGGACCGGGTTCCGAGGTCCCCCCGAGAAGCGTCGTAACAATGGAAATACCTTAGCTAGCGGCGCAGTTCGTTCCTGAAATTATTTCCGATGATCGTCGGGGCTCCCGACATTTTATCGGCCAGGTCTACGCCAGGAGCGTCTCCGCGAAGTTTACCAGCGGGAACGAGCATCCACGGGACTTCTATTAAGAGAAGCAATTTTTTGAACTTTCATAAAGGGTCGTCTATAACCGTTAATTCCGGGCCATTGAAGCGGGGAGGCCTCAATTACCAGGATCGCGGCCGAAAAATCTTCCGCTTAATTTACTGCTTATAATTTGCTCCGCGAAGTATCCTCGGAATCCACCAAGTTCGAAAATTTTCCAAAACGATCTGCCAAAGTTCGTTTCTCACGGTGGAGTTCCTTCGTGGGATTTCTCCCGGAAGTTCCAAATCGCTTCGACTTATGATTTTTAACTCACGAGCACACGACGGAGTCTGTGAGAGGCCTTCGAGAAACGTATGACATGCCTAGTAGCCTTAGTCCTTGTCAAGCTGCTGAAATATTAAGAGTGCAACCTTAAAAATGGATGAATTATTTCTGATGTGAAAGTTTTTGTGTGACGTAGAGAATGAAATAAATGTTTTGTAATAAAAGAGATTCTGAAAAAATGTTTCATTTCATCTTTCAATTTCTGATAAATATTTTTACTGGACAAACTTATTCGACAATTTAACCAGCACAGTGTCATTATTAAATCTTTGGCGTATCGATTAAAAAAAAAAAAAAATACTTGAATCGAATATATGGGGAGTTTCACAGATCAAGGGAGGTCTCCCTGTGTGTTAATATTCTGGAATTTGTATAATCGTTGAATTGGCAATTGACAAATGTCTCGTTTCCCCGTCCAAAAAAATGAAAAAAAAAGGCACGTTCATTGTTCGAACCACCCTCGTGATTTCAGCGAGTTAAAATACGTTATGGTTTCGGTATTCCCGCGGCCGCTAAATGGAAGAAAGTCGACGAAATTCATCGCACGGAAATAAACGCGCGAGAATTTTCCCAAGCGCCACGGGGATACAAAAAACTTCGCGGACGTTCTAACGAACGTGTTCCCCGTAGTTTCGGTTCCACGTGCGTTTTAAAAGCCCCATTATTCAAAGTATTTGTTTCGCGATCGCCGTCTCAAACTCTCGAATAACCGACGATCCCGACGGCGACGGGGGAACGGGGGGGGAAAAAAAATAAAAGTACATTTCGCCCGTCCGACCGCGATGAAATCTCATATTTTTACAAAATTGCCGGCGAGTATTTGTTCAACGTCGCGTGCTGGAACAAAATAACGAATAAACTTTCGACGACGCGGCCGCGAGCGATTTTGTCATTTTAGAATATTCAAAGAGCTCCTTTTCAATAATCCAGCAGCATGTCGGGGGGGGGAAAAATCGTGCCTTTGAATTTCCGCGAAAGATTCCGAGTTAAAAGTTATCTCGAACGTTTACGTAATCTGCTTACGTTTCTACGTTGCAATTACTATTTCATTAATACGGTAAAAATATTTGCGAAAACAGAGGTTCGAGACGCCAAAGGGAGTCTGAGTTTCGAATACATTTTTCTGCCAAGTACCGCGGATCGAAATTACTTTTTCAGTTTAACCCCTTCGGTCCTACAATGACCGAGTCAAGTTTCATAATTATTAGGCTACTCGCTCATCGTCGAGTCTTATGTATTAAAATCAACGCAAAATATAAAATTAAATATTAGTTTGGGGAAAAAGAAATCCATTATTTTTCACTTGGACGACTGTAGTGATATATAACATGCAAAGTAAAAGTGGCATTCCGTACTAAAGAAAATTCTTTCACAGTTTTTTTGGTTACGAACCACGTTAAATAAAGTCTTGAAATATCTCTTTTTCCTTGGCCTGATATTATACGTTCAAAAACTTATTTTGGAATTAAATCGTACGTCGAGGGGGTTAAAAATGAAACCGTGACAGAAAAAGTCCAGAAGGAGCAAAGATCCATCGGCTTAAAGAGCAGAAAGGATGCGAGAAATTGGAACAGAAACGCGTAGCCTCAACGCGAGAGCGCAAATATCAATATTGCTACGTGCAGAGGAATATGCAATAGAACAGTAAAAGACAGAGAGAGAGTGAGAGGGGGGAACGTCGACAATTGAGAGATCGACGTAGGCGTTTTAAACAAGTATACCCGCATCGCTTTTGTTCCCCGTGAGCTGTTATATCGTCACTTTGCACTGTGCCTGCTGCGACCATTGTTCTTCCTATGAAACGCCGGTTGACATACTTGCCTACGTCGACGGTTCCCTCGTGAACAATGTAAAATAGCAAACTAATACGTATCCACTGTCGCCGTTAAATGAAACAACCTCTTCTCACCGCATTATTCAATTCGCTTTCGTTAACGAGAAACCGTCGAACCAATTTTCGATTTCGTCGCGCTAATTGGGTCTAAAAAAAATTCTATTCTCGAATCGTTCCCCGCAAATATTTCATAAACTCGACGAAAATGTTTATTCGTCGGATGTTGGGCTTTGCCCCGAGAACGATATTCGCCTCCGACGATTTTTCTACCTTCGATAAATATTTCCAGCCGCTCCGTGAACTCCTGAACTCCGCCACGGGATAAACATTGATCGCCAAAGCCCTTTGGCAACGTTTTTTTTCGCCTCGGTCGATGAAAAATATATCGCGATATCTCGCGATTTTCACGCAAAACGTACAAATTTGGTACGAAACGAACGCGGTTGCACCAGCGGTATCAACCGAGGCATATTTTACGGTAAGCACTGCCATTCGGGACGTTTGTTGTTAAGAGCCCAAGCACAACAGAGCCGCTTAGGAAACAAAGAACGAAAAAAGTTACCCGCGAGCGCGCGAGCGCGGTCGGTGCAAAGCGATATTTTTCTTTCGCGCCGGGGGGGAAAAAAGTGGCGCACGATAAGACGCGGAATTACCCCGATGTAGTAAAGACTAGGCGCCATTGTTAGGAGGCGTCATACTCTGGTAAAGAACTCGATTACTCCGGCTACGTTCCGTGAAATATAGCGGGCCACGTTTTTATGGTAATAATAAGGACGACTACTCGCGTTTAAAACTTTCCTCGGCGTTGATTCCGAGTAGGGGGGAAAAAGATACACTCCGGGGAATAAAACGCGGAAAATTCTCGACGCGCGGGGACATTTGTTACTCGACGCTAAATCATTTCTTTCGGTATCTTCCAAAGGATTCTCGGACGCATTGTCGACGCGTTATTTGTACCTGTTTGATTCGAAGAAGCCCGGAACGGCGGCCACCATTTCCAACGGCTTCTCGTGTCGCGTTGAAACGTAACGTATCGCGAAGCGTCTTGATAACGCGAAACTTTCAACAGCATTCCGGTCGTTCGACCGAAAATTTCCGCGAGGTTAACGTTCCACGCCTAAATTGCTCCCGTAAATGACTAATTGCCGCTACGTTCCTCGCGCGCATCCGGCAGGTGAGTTAAACTTCTGCGTGTTCCCGGAGTTCCCAGCCCCTGTATAACACGTGACCTGATACGCGTACACGTATCGTACGTTCGAATTAGTTCAAACGCCGGGTGCACGGTCAATTTCTCCTGTACTAATTGATTCCCGTTCGTGTCTCGGGCAGCAAAGCGCGCGAAAGAGTTCTCGATCGCTGGATCACGGGACGGGAATGAAAATTTAATGAAAATCCACGCGTCACATCATTAGACTCACAGTTTAAAATATAATTCTTATCGCATAGACTCTTATTGTACC